GAATCGACTTGGTAACGCCACCAGACGGCTTGGTGTCCGCGTCAAGTCGGTTGACAGTCGTCATGGCAAGCTTCCATGGCAAGCGCTTCAACTCTCTACACCTTCACGCTACAAGCACCTTTATAGTGGTTGTCGTAGGCTGGTGCTAGGTGTCGGGACGGAACTCGTCGGCGGTAGCCTGGAATGATGCAAGGTTGTTTATTTAGCAAATATTTTTTATTGTAAAATGGATTTGCGTATATATGCGTATATATATACTTCGCGTAATATTACAAATCCAGTATATACTCTGTGTGCTTTGCTTCTTGGCCTTCTACATGGCCATGTAAGCTGAGTAAAACAGGCTAGGTGCCTCTACATGGTCATGTAGGGTGGGTAAATGCAGTCGGGTACGATGCGGTGGGTGATTCTATCGCTTTGCGCACCCTTGTCTTCCGCCACCCCCGACAACTAATATTTACTCTCTAAACATTATATTTCTTTGGCAGCTTGCGTGGACAGCCTGCCACGTCAGGGTATTATATACCATTTATAATTCTTATATAAATCAAATAAACTATATATGCGTATTTGATACAGAAATCCAGTATTTGCCCAACCTTGAATGATGGGGTGGTCACCGATGATAGATGTGCGAGTCACGGCTAGAGGAGACGTGTTACGACAGTTACTGTCGGGAGCGCGTAGCGCTTGAATGAGACGAGACGAGCTCAAGCCTCCGTTGGGCCGCCAACAATGAGCCGAGTAGCAACACAAAGCCGTCAGATCCATAGATAAGACGTTGATTCGCACTCATCAACACTGCAATATTGTCACTCGTTTATTGCAGAGGTTACGCCTTGCTCAGCGCATATTTTTCGCTCAAGAGGCCCACAATGACGGCAATGAGACCGGCAATCACGAACAGCAGCGCCGATGGATCCATCCCCGTGGCTGTCGACACGGTGGCGGGTGGTGTTGTCGTTTGTCGGGCCGCGCGGCTCTTGGCAGCGCCGTCCTTGGACCACTCTTTCAACTGCCCGCGGACCGCATCGACGTTGGCGTAGCCCTTCCGGCGCAAAATGGCTTGCAATTCCGAGGCAATGCGGTCAAAGCACTTGGGGCCTTCGATCCAGTGGCACGTGCCGATCTGGACGGCCTGCGCGCCGCACAAGAGCATGTTGAAGACGTCGTCGCCGGTCTCGATGCCGCCGACGCCGACGACCGCAATTCGCGCATGCAGAAGCTCGCGCATCTTTTTAACGTTGGCGAGCGCCGTGTACTTAACCGCAGGGCCCGAGAGACCGCCAAAGCCATTCTTGGGGCGGATCGCGGGCATCTCGGCCTCGGTGTCGATCACGAGAGCGTTCCCAACAGTGTTGATCGATGCGACAAAGTGCACGCAGCTAAAGGTGTTGATGATCGTAGCCGCCTTCTCAAAGTGAGGGCCGTCAAAGTACGGCGGCAGCTTGATGCCAAAGAGCTTCTTGGACGCGGCGAGGCCGGGGTGGGCTTGGACGGCCGTGAGCACATCGCGGAGCTGGTCGAAATCGTATGCGATGATCGGGTGGCCAATGACGTTCGGGCACGCGAGGTTGAGCTCAATGCCGTCGACGCCGTCGGTGGCAATGGCATCCGAGAGCATGCGGAGGTTGTCCGCCAGGTTGTGCCCCGAGAGCGAGACGAGGTACGGCTTGCCCTTTGCCGACGCAATCGCGTCAGATGCGAGGTAGTAGCCAATGCCCTTGTTTGGTAGACCCTCCGAGTTGAGGCTTGCGACCTTGTCGGCTTGCCACGTGCGCGGCAGGTCGTTGCCGCTCTGCTCGTTGACCGTCGCGCTCTTGGCAAGGACGGCGCCGGCAGCCGACGACGCAATCTTGGCCAGCGCGTCGGTGGACCCCGTGCGCGGACCACTGGCGTTGTAGATGCACGTATCGAGCGTGAGGTGGCCGAGCGACGTGCGCAACATGGTCGTGAATTGAAAAGTGCAAAGTGATGTGCCAGAACCGTGATTGGTCGACATGCAAATCTTTGCGTGCAGCCAATCCGTGCGCGGGATGCGAATCCAAGGCATATGATTGGCCGTTTTTAGCCAATGGCCTCGCCGCATGCCGCAGCTTCAAGCAGGCAGACTGGCGATCGATGTTGGGTGCCCGGCCGACCGCAGCATCGCAACGTACGCGCAGCCAACGCACCTAGAACGTGTACTATGCAGACCGCGATACACGAGAGAGAAGCAATGACAAATACGTTTTGTTGCATCAAGTGTTAACCGACTAGCATGGTTTTGCCGGCGCTACTGACGCCACAACGTCGTGCCTTCCTCGGCGTCGCTATTCCAAAGGAACGCATTCGCGCCAAACTTGATACAACCGCGCGCTGGGGCGCATCCGCCATGTCGACTGAGGACGTCGATATCATGCTCGGGCGTCTGTGAGTAGAAGAACGCGGCGTGCAGCGACCGCGGCGCGACGGCGAGGCCGCGCCCATGGCAGCCGTCGCCACGCTCGCCGTCGCTGCCATTGGCAAACGGGAAGGCCGTGGCGCCCCCGGCCTTGACATCGTTGAGGTACACAAACACAGTCGCGAGACGCTGGGGCCGGTACACGGCACGACGCGGCAGCTGCGCCGGCACCGCGTACTTCAGCCGGACGTCTTGAACGCGATGTTCAAATCGCCTTACGACGAGAGGCAGGAACGTAGGGCCAAAGGACGTCAGCGCGTCGAGCAACAGGTCGTCTCGACGCCCTTGCTCGTATTGCGCAACCAGCCAGGCGCTGTACGTGGCATTCGTGGCCGCTTTGAGCGCTGTGCCGTCGAGAAGCACGAGCTCGAGAAGCTGTTGCTGAAAACGCTTGTCAAACTTGGGATACCACTCGCCGGTCGGCTGGACGAGGGCGGGGCAGTCGGCACAGCTTGCGACTATTTCTTTGAGCCATCGAATCCATCGAAAGTAGTGACTCTGGCCGTTGACGGCGGTCGCTCGAGGCACGGCAGCGTACGTGAGCTCGACACGGTTGATTGGGTCGGACCATGCTTTGATCAGCGCGTCTAAGTAGGCGGGTCGCGCCGTAAGGAGCTCTTGGAGCGTGCCAGGAACGTTCTCGTCGAGGTTGAGTCGCAGCCAGTCTTGCCACGCCAAGTCATATCTACCGTCATGGCATTTAGATGCTCTTGTCGATTTGAGAATGGGTTGCCGTACCGAGCAGCAAAGTAGTTGGTGGCGACCGCATGGGCAAAGAACACTTCGAGAAGGGCGTGGGCAAATGCCTCGGTGGTGCGAGGGTACAAAGGCCCGTCGTTCGGATGATAGGCCGGCGGCAGGGCTACGTCATTGGCGACGAGAGCATTCAGCGCCGCCGCGGCCCAGACAACCCATGCGTCGTATGCGTCGATTGCGGGTTCCGGCGACGGGTCGGCCAAGATGGTCTTGCCACCAAACGTGTCCAAATGCGGCTTGTAGTAGGTACCGGGCGTATACTGCACGAGATGCAGCTGTTCGGCGTACGTCTGGCTCGGAAGACGGGCAATGGCGGCTGCCCGGGCTTGGATACGCCGTGAGTGGCGGCTGGGAGGCAAGAACGCCGTCTGGCTCGTTCGGTGCTTGGAGACGCCTGTTCACACGTCCCGCTAAGAGATCCTTTGCCATCGAAGTGCAGATGTACCGTCGCGACCGGCGAGATCGACTTGCGACGCGGCCAAGTGCGGCGTGCCCTCGGCAACGATGCTGTCGGCTTCGTCTTGGGACACAAAGTCCGAGAGCAGAAACACGCGCGGCGCAAGGCTCAGCGTCGTCAAGTGCATCGACCTATTGCCTTCGTATAGCGTATGGACATGACCAATCGCAATGCCTGGCCAGACCCACGACTGAAACTCGAGTAGAACGTGGACGATGCGAATTGAGTCGACGTCGGCTGCGGATTGCAGTGGCTGCCCATTCGGCGAGTACAAGCGCAGGCCTAGCGCGACCCAGTCGGCGTCGGCACCGAGCGCGAGTGCTGCGGTTTGCGCCATCGTGCCCAAGTCCGAGAGGTCATATGCGGCCATGAAGAGCCCGTCGTTGGCCCCGTTAAGCAGCACGAAGACGTGCCCACGCACGCGCAAGGCGTCGGCGCCGAGAGCCATGGCCTCGCGCACGTCAGATCGCTGCGAGGCAATGGAGGGCGATGGCGACGAGGCGACGGACGGCCGTGGAAGAAAGAACTGCGGTGCCATGTACATGACGTCCGGGCTAGCGTATTTGCAAGGGACGGTGTCTGTACCTTCTGCATCGTCGCGATCCAAGCGCCATTGCGTAGCGACGAGAAGTGCAAACAGAAGAGGAAGAAGCGGCAGCAGGACCGAGCGTGGCCATCGTGAAGGCGCCAGGCCATGCGGCGCGATGGGAAGCACGGCGGTCGCGGAAGGCTGCCGGTCGGGCATGGTGGCAAGAGCTAGCCGACGTTTGATTGGTCTAAAAATAGCCAATCAAATAGCTTGCGTCGACACCAAAGTAGCATTTTGAAAAAGAGGCCACCCGCTGGAATACAGCGGAACGTTGGTCCCGATATCGATAAGGCGATAAGCTTGTTGAGAGCATATTGCGCTAGAATCGCAGCTTGAACTTGAGCGACCTCAGTGCATCGGTGCCAAGATGCTTGCCACCTTTCGATCATTGCACAGTCGTGGCTGAGGTAAAGATGACCTTGGCTGCTGGTCGGACGAAAGCGAAACCAAGATACCTGCATGCACCTTGTGGAAGTCCAGCGCACCGGTATTGCAAGAGCAGTGTGTTTTTATATGGTATAAGATCTGAAACGGACTCGTCGTGACGTGGCATGCGCTCGTGCAAGCGAATCAAATCTCAAAAAATGGCGCGAACGTATTTTTATTCCTAAAAAAAGCCACCGCCCAAGTCTTCTTGCGAGAACATCGTTGCGTCACGAGAGCCTAGTCATCAAGGTCACAGACGCCGACGACCGGCGGCAGCCCAATCGTCGTCATGAGGTCGCTTGGCGTCGAGCTCACAATGCCGTCCTTCGTCATCACAAACGCGTC